AGTGACCTGCATATGTTATAATTAGTCAATTTCTGTTTTGTTCTATTGGCCAATTTTTGTTTTGTAATATGTATGTATGTATGTAATTTAATTTATGTATTATAACTTTGTCCTGTTATTGGGCATCAAGTCCATTGGACACTATTGAAATAAATAAACAAATTAATTAATTAATAAATACTCGCTATAATCGTAAACTCGTGGTTGGAAATCCCGGCTATTGGGCGACCGTCACGTCATCCCGACCGTCCCCAACTTCTATTCAAGACCTGCATTTTTTGTGAATTGCGCAGCCGTCAGCTCGACAAGGAACCGCGCACTCCGCTTCCGGTACGTGTTTCTGTGTTATTTAACCTCAATTCAATTTAAATGTTCAATTTATATGACTCTGATATTAAACAACAACTGAACAAGTGTCAAAGTTTCAAAGAGCAATAAATAACACTTAAATTCGCCATACACTCTCGTGAAATTTTAAACAGAAAAGAATTCTTATCTGAGATTAAGATTGGACATCAGACAATTATATGATGGAATGCTAAATTTTTGTAGGAAAGTAATAATTTTGCAATTAAGCTCCGGCCCTCGGTCTAACAACAAATGCGAAATTCATGACAATTAAGCTTAGGATGGATATGGGTGAAGGTTAATTTTTGGCTTGTTTTTTTCTGATTATACATAGTATAGTAAAAAAAGTCTACACATATTAAAACAAAAATGCAAAATATAAGCCCCGCCCGCCCACTCTATCTCAGTTGTGATGATTTTTTTTTAATCCCAATACATAGTATGCTTTAAACAACACGATACTCAAAAACATATTTTTAATTTTTCGTGGAGAAATAAGGATTTTGCAGTTAAGCTCACTCACGACAAATAAAAAAATCATCAGATTTGCGATAGGGCGGGTGGGTGGGGCTTATATTTTCCCTTTTTTTTTTTCTTAATATACATAGCCATTTCTTCACAACAAGAAACATAGAACATTGTTCAAATGGTATAGGGCGGAGCCTCATTGCAAAATCGATATTTCCTTATACAAATTTTCCATTTTAAACATGTCTTAAGTTTCATGTTGTGGAAAGAAGTCTACACATATTAAAACAAAAAGGCAAAATATAAGCCCCGCCCACCCGCCCTGTCTTAATTGTGATGATTTTTTTTATTCGCCGTTAACCAAGAGGGCGGAGCTTAACTGCAAAATATTTATTTCTTTACAAGAAATTAAAAACTTGTTTTAGAATATCGTGTTGTTCAAAGAAAGAGGGTGTTTTATTGGGCTTAATTGGTTTTTGAATAGAAAGTCAATTTGAAGTTGACAGCAGGGATTGACACTTGAGCAAATTTTTGTGTTTGCAAATTTGAATTATTGGCAGCAATGTTAATATGTCAGAACACGATTAATTTGCTGTCCTAAATTTCATTTTGCCAATCAGGTTTGACATCATAACATTAAACATGCTGCCAGCCTGATAAAAAATCACGATCATTAGTGGTCCCTTGGTATTTTTAGCCAGACTAAGAACAGAGAGACACTGCTTAATTTATATAGGTGCATTATTAAACCAAATTTTTTGTGTTGGCAACTTTGAATTATTGGCAGCAATGTTAACATGAGTTTACAGTTGTCAACTTTGACAGAAGCGCGCGTAACGGGTCAAAAGTGGGATTTATAAACTTGCTGTTGACGTTGAAGTTCCAGTTGCAGTTGCTGTGTTGCTGTTCCCACTGACGTTGCTTTTACAGGTGAAAATTGTTATTTATAAACTCCGTTATCAAGTTGTCGTTGATAGTAACTTTGATGTTCAACTTTTGCCGTGTTTCAAGGGGTTGTAGAAGAAAAAAAGTGGAGGATTTAGGTTGATTACTATAAAAATTTACCATTTTAGGCATGTTTTAGCTTTCTTGTTGTCTAAATAAGTCTACACATATTAAGAAATGAAGGCACAATAAAAGCCCCACCCACCCACCCGCTCTCAGTTGTGATGATTCTTTTTTTATTCGTCGTGAGCCAAGAAGGCGGAGCCTAATTGCAAAATCCATATTTCCTTGTAAAAATTTACCATTTTAAATGTGTTTTAAGTTTCTAAGAATAAAAAAAATTATTACAAACGAGACGGGGTTGAGTGGCCGGGTTTTATATGTTTCCTTTTTTTTAATACACATAGTATTCTTTGAAACAACACGATATCAAAAACATGTCTTTAATTCCCTGTAAAGAAATAAGTATTTTGCAGTTAAGCTCCGCCCCCTTGTTTCACGGCGAATAAAAAAAAATCATCACAATTGAGAGAGGGCGGGTGGGCGGGCTTACTTTTTGCCTTTTTATTTTAATTTGTGTAGACTTCTTTTCACAACATGAAACTTAAAACATGTTTAAAATGGAAAATTTTGTGTACCCTTTAACCATGTTTTAAGTTTTTTGTTGTGAAAAAATGACTATGTATGATAAGAAAAAAAGCAAAAATATTTACAAAACAAAAAACTAGCAAGGAATTATAAAAGCAAAAAAATTTGGTGTGAAATAAAAACTTACGTGAGGTTAGAAACTGCAGACCATGAAAGTTTACGTTCAGTTTCAATTATACAAAAAAGAAAATTACAGAGGCTAAAATTGTGAGATAGAGAAAAATTATGAAGCTAACAAAATTACATGAGGTTAAGATTTTATGTTCATTCGAGTTGTTGGCTAATTTTTAAAAGTGAAGTTATTCAGCTGCATTGTGGGACATCGTTTTACAGTCCCCAAAACAAACACAAAAAACATAGCAGGTGATCTGGAGGTTCAAAATGCCGTTGAATGAATGCGTCGCTCCAGAAAATATGCCTCAAAAATGTGTCTCCCAGAAATGCGATCAATCCTGTGGCGTTGTGCAAATAATGGTCTAAATCAAAGGAATAAAATGCACGTCCCAGATGACAATGTTGTTAATTTGTTCAATGAGATCTTACAGTTCAAACATGTGTTTGGTATGAAAATGCTCTGTCAACATGGCCGCTGCCAGAACAAAGACTTCACCCGATGTTAAATTATGCTACACTTCATCAACGATTCAAACAAAGAATTTACATAATGTTAAATTATGCCACACTTCATCAACGATCCAAATAAAGAATTTACATTATGTCATTACCCAAGTGATTAGTTACTTAAAACAATTAGCTTTGAGTGTTTATATCGTGGCATTTTCTCTGCTTATCCCAGACAAAACACATGATAAATAAACACAAAATGTATCAGGCATTGCGAGAAAAGCTTCTCGGTTATGTAATTTTCAATACTGCGAGAAAATATGTCTCGGTGATGTAGCTTTCCACGTTGCGAGAAAAATATCTCGGTGAAGTGATGATGATATGATGATAATTACTGCCTAAGGGAAGAAATTTTTAATCCCCCGAATTCTACCGCATTTTTACGGTCTTTTCCCACTAGGTTGATTTAACTGCCGTTAATGAACTATTAGTAATCTTGTTTGAAGAATTAAAAAGTGTTTATTGTAACACTCAGTTATAAGCATCCAGAAACGTTATCCATAATTAGATAAACAAAGAATATTAGCAATCTTGTTTGAGGAATTAAGAAGTGTTTAATATAACACTCAAGTATAAGCATCCAGAAACGTTATCCATAATTAGATAAACAAAGAACGAGCTCTGACTAAGTGAATTTCATGAGATCTCCTAGCAAGTAGTTTTATCTGAACAAACTTATGACTGTTAAATTGTGTTAGAACCAGTTAACGATTAAAATCCTAACATGAACTGTGAATTTACAAACAATAAAACCAATTTACACCGCATGTTGACGTCGGTTGAAAATTCGCTTATTTTCGCTTGGAAAAACCGCAAGAATTATGGATGTTTCCCGTAAACCAACAATAAACCGGGTTGTGTTAGGCCCGACTCGTTCTGTTCCATAGATGACCCAACTAGGGGCCTCTTGGTATTGGAAGTTCAGTGGTTGATGCATGCCCTTCAACTGAACGTCCTTAAAAACGAACCCTAGTCAGTCTCGAGCTCTCTCATCCTCACATTCTACGTGGATTACGTCCTGTCGGAGTCTTTATTTTAATACAACATACAGTTTTTAGCCGAGAACATTTATTTTTTATGTGACTCTTTTATATTTATTTCTCTTTTGGCCAACATTTTCTCGTTTCATTGAAAATTCACTTATTATTGATTCACCTTAATGTTTATGGTATCGATAATCTTCCCTTACTCGTCTTCAAACTTATGCGGTATTGCCATCTATATAAGGAAAGACACTTCGTATAGTAGATAACTTCGGTGAAAGGTGACACTAGCGCCAGCGTAAAAGCTTGAATTAAAAGATGTGGCAGGATAGAAGCAGTAAAGAATATACGCACAGACGATATCATTTATACCTTAATATTGTTTGTTTGTAGCCATTTTCTGACTATCATGTATAATATTTGGTAATTTCATAGATTAGGTCCCAAGGGCTTTCAACGAAAAGGTCGCATGGAAACTACGGGAAGATAACTCCTGACCACGAAAATGGCATTCAGTTTGTGCGCAAATAATTAGTTTAGAAGATATTTACGTTTAAGTACTGCAAGTTTGTACCCACAGGTCTTTTTAAAAAAATCTTTCTTCAGCTGTTAGAATTTTGTAAAGTAAATATGTGTGTATATTTGGCTGCCTATATGTGGCGCAAGTAATAGAACTAGAAAACGACCATATTTTTAAAATTTAGACCTCTCCATCGAACCCAAGTAAAACATTAGTGGTTACAGCTCTAAGATAAAAAATGCTGTGTCAGATCGTTAAGTTTGCCTCCATATTAATGATAATTTAATTTTGAGTTGATTCTTCAAATTTACAGGTTACTGTCAAAGCGTCGCCCTGTTTAATTAGCCTTATTAAAGTTTTAAAATTCCTCTATAGCAGGGGTTTAGAAATAAAATCAAAAATTAAATAAATTAACAATAGTATATTTTAACATTAAAATGTATAGAATCAGTTCCATTTCAATGCAGAGCACAATTTTCTAAAAACTTATATCAATATATAAACATGAATCTACAACTACGTCATACAAACATACAATTTTGTTATATTGTATAAAATTCATACATTGGTGTTAATATAATACAAATTATAAACTACATAAAAATTGAGAAGCTTATTTGGCAGCACTAGAATAATAAAAATATATCAATTGCTTACATTGTAAGTATTGGTCCAGTTACAAAATATTGAATCACAAGTAAACAAAACACGATTAGGCCAGGGCACCATGTGATATACATTCATATAGCAGAAATGACAAAAAAAATCAGAAAAGCTGCATAATACAAAGTCTCAAACGTGCATGAGCAACAATAAAAAAATTACTGCCGTCTTCCACTCACAACTCTTTCCCTACTATCATCCCTGTTCACAGAACTCCTCCTAGGTGGTGAATTTCCCGTAATTCGACTCTTTCTCGACCTCTTAAACTTCGCCATGTCTTCGCCAAACACGTCCCCGGTTCGCAAAGCAGAGATCAAATCATCGAACTCTCCCTTAGCGCTTTCGCCGTTTTTCAAACTCAGGCTCTTATTAATCGACGACAAAATGCCTTCCCTACTATGTTTACGTTCTAAGGTCAACTTTTTAAGTTCAGCCTCTTGCTTTGCTCGTTTCTCCTCTTCTTCTTGCTTGCGACGCAAGTTTTCGTTGTCTTGTCGGGCTTCCATAAAGGCGGTGAGAAAACCGTCGAAGACGCCGAAAAATTCGTCAGGCTGGGCATTCGTTGAATCTTCACCGAAAAGGCGGACGGCTCGTTCAAAACGTGTCTACAAAAAATTTAAACTAAAGTTACAACTTTTCAAACAATAGTGATATATACCTTCATGTCTTGATACTGATCTTCAACTTCCGCTAATCTACAAGTTGCCGTTGCTTGGAATTCGCGCATGACAGGTACGAACTTATCGTTGGCTAAAGGACTTTGACTTAGATGGAATTCGATTTCTTTTGCTACATCTTTTAAGCCTAATCTTAACTGGGCCATATCCTTGCTGAGTTCGCCTAAGGACACTTTGGCTGCTACCCTAACATGTGGGATATCTTCATCTAAACGAAGGATATCTTTAAATTTCTTCTCGATAATTTGTACTAAATAATGAAGTAAAGTTGTGCCTTTGGCAGCACTAGATTTGGTATCAGCAAGTCTATTTAGTGAAGCTAATCGGAAGCCAGAGGCGTTACCTCTAGCCCCACGATTCATGTAGTTTCCTAACGCTAAAACTATTTCCAAAAGTCTTCTAAGACGACGAGACCTGGAGACTTCTCGAGAAGCCTCCATAACGCTGGTAATGCGTGGGATAATCTCGTTTAGTGTTATTTGGAACCGTTTTTTGTAGTGCAAGCTACGAAGTCTCTGTTCGTAATGAGGCACCCTAAACAGAAAAACGTTATAAATAGGAAAAATACACACACACACAAAAACTTACTTGGATATTTCATAGAGAAAACGATCAGCTCTGGCTAATGAATCAATTTCGTCACTGTGTTCCTCCAACAAAGCCGCTTCTTCTGAACTTGGCGTAAACTTAAGTAACTGCTCCACCATATCAATAGGTAACTGTTCTTTGCAATCCATGCTCAAAATAGCTTTCGTGATATCTTCATCCGACATCTTCAATTTCGATAACAGAATAGTGCAATTTTGAGCTCGTCTGCTGTCTATCACTGATAAAACTTTGGTTCTATTTTTACCCATTTGCCTCAGATCTTCAATGGAACCGTCGTTCTAAAAGAACAAATTAACAACAAAATCTACATTTATTATTAACTCTTACCGCAACTCCATTCTTTTGATAAGCACAGAATAACTTATCAATGCAGTCCAGTTCCATCGTGTTGTATAGTTTAGAATCGTCAAGTTCACTCCAAATGGTACCAGCAAGCTTAGTTTCTGGTAACTTAGACCAATTGAAAGATTTCAGAGGGTTCGACGGTTGTGGGATGTTCTTTTTAACCGATTCAATTTTGAGAGGCTCTGGAGGTGGTGCCATGGGAGCATTGGGTGGAGGAGGAGGCCCAGGAGCCGGAGGCGGTGGTGGTGGTGCAAGTGGAGGTGGCGGTGGTGGAATAGAATTAAACTCGTTCTTGTAGTCGACATCGACGGTAGATTTAAGACCTATAACTTTGGCATCGTCTGGAATACTCCCAGAACTGACTAAACGTTCGAGTCTAAATCGTTCGCCCCTCTCACAAGACACCTGTCTATCCAGATCTGCAGCCCGATATTCGAGTTCGTTTAGACGTTGTTGAGTTTCGATATGTGCAGCAGTTTCTTTCTCTAATCGTTCTTTAATACGTGTTAAACTCGATTCGATATCTTCTTTTTCTTGAGTGCGTTGGTCTAGTTCTTGCTCTTTTTTTGCTAATCTGTTAGACATATCTACATTCTCTCGTTCAAGTTCTTCAGCTTTTTTCCGAGCTTCTACGAGTTCTTCTTCTTTAGCAAGAAGATGAACAATTTCTTTCACGTTTATGTCTATGGGTGACAAATCAGGGTTTTTGACTTCGTTGTCTTGTTGCAAGACTATTTGTTGGACGATCCTGTCGAAAAGAAGCCAGTGTTGAGGGTGAGAACCGTAGTCCAAAGGTAACAAAATGCAATGTTCTAACAAGGAAAGTAGGTGAGGATACGCAGCTGTATGACTTAGTTTACGTCTAATGAGATCAAACATCGCGGTAGCACTTTTGGTATCGACGTGTTCCATTTCAAACTTCCTTGCCAACTCTTTCTCGTCCTCATTCCGCACCATTTCGAAGAAATCCAAATGCCTATTCAGTGTTTCGTTCTCGTGACCTCTCAGTTTGTCGATAATGGGCTGAATGCCCAACATTAAGAACTCATACCGAAGATGTAACCTAAATTCTAAGTTTTCTTGACCCTGACCGTAATTCAATACCGCGTTAACAAAAGACATTATAGCCGTTTTTAAATTGACTTCATCCCTATAAATTCCCGTCGAACGATCCAAGTCGTTGATGATCCCTTGAAACCTCGTCCGTTCAAATGCGTATTTTTGGTAGTGAAGCATCGCATCGAGCACTTTTTTGTGACCCCCTGACACCAGACACACGGCTCCTAAAATTTCAAGAGCCGCAATCTTGGTCTTAATATTTTCGGTGCTTAGAGATTGAGCAATGGTGTTAATGCTGGTTGGGTGCGCCAAAACGTGAGCTCTGCCAGTCTGTAATCATCACTGATGAGTGAGAACTTTATACACTATCACATACATACCGAATTGTTCATCAAAGCTTTTACACATCCAATTATGCTTGTGTGAATAGTGCTTTGAGCTGTAAAGTAATCCATTCGTTCCAAACAGTCCAAAAGCGCTGATAAGCCATCCAGTTCGATGAATTTGATAACAAAACTGTGCGTTGATGTTCTGAGGGCCGTTTTCAATCCGTCCATTTGTTTGGTTCGCGATCGCACTTCTTCGTCTGTGTTAATTTCAGGGTATTGCAGCTGAAAATAATCTAGTTAAAAAGATTTGTTTTTATGTCAGCGGGAAATTTACTGTTGCTAGTGTTCGCAGTCTTTCGATGTAGTGTTCAGGTGCATGAGTATGGTCCACTGTATCCTCTCCTCCCTTTCGTGAGCAATATATTTGCCATTTTTTCTGCGATGGTAAACTTAACATGGCAGCCTTGTTAGGGGCTGTCAGATCCAGTTCCTCCTGTAAAACGTCATTATTTATGAGAACAACAATCCTCTTGCTAATGCATCTTTGTTACCGTTAATGTCTTTGTATTGTTTCTACCTATAACAACGAAAGTTAAAAGCAGAATGCTGTTAAATCATTCTAATTTTACTCTAAGATTATGAAGAAGTTAGTAACGGTATCATTAATCCGTGTTAGATACGACACAGACTTCAAGTTCAAGATTAAAAAAAATCACGTAAGTAGAAAGTCTCGACCAGATTATTTGCATACTCGAATAAAAAGTAGTGTGCTGATCTGTATATAATAATTTATTACAATCCAACAATAGATCTGGTCGACAACGCCAAATTTATTGTGTGACCATGTTTATTGACAGTAGCCTGTGGTCAGGCTGATCAAAGTCATGTTTATCATAAAACGTAAAGTTAATGTTTGGCATTCTTTCGCCATAGCATCATCGTACTTTACTCCAACTTTCACAATTCGGCATACACGAAAATTCTTACCATTAAACACAAATGGTAGTAGACAATTATAGGCAAAAACGAATTAATTTCACCGGAAGTACTTTGACCCGTCCGTCAAAGCGATATTTTTGCAGCCAGGAATGCGATTTATTTATTTGTTTATGAATTATTGTAGGGAGGTTGATGACTTTGATTAACAGAACAATCAGGAAAGCCTGCCGTTAAATTGCGCTTCGCGTAATTTTGTTGGAGCGAGCGACCGAAATTACTGTTAACGTTAAATTGTTGCATGACAAGAGGACATACCACTAGTTCTGCAAATTTGACATCTAGTTCTTCTTGTGACGGCATCGGTTGCGTGGGGGTGATTGCTTGAAGAGTTAGGGTTCCGGTATTTTCCACCACACAGTAGGTTATTTCGGGTGGTTCGTCATCCTGAAAAGATTTTATCATTATGTTTTTGACCTTCTTCATGTCATATTTTTTGCTTGTTTTCAAATAAAATGTATAAGTGATAGTCGAACGAGGAAGGTGATAATAATTGTAAAGTTTAAATGAATAATATTGTTCCTCGTTTCGTATTGTCAAGGAAGTTGTCATTTAATGTCACGGGAGGTATTTTATATGTGGATATTTAAATGTAGAGGTTGGGTGGTTTAATCTGGAATTTATTATATTATACCTATATATCAATCAGTCATGTCGTGTCATTTTTATCTTTAATATTTTAGTTTCTACACTTGATAATACCTGAGAAGCCTGAGTAAGTAGTGAACTAAAATTTCGTCTATTAACATAACTAGATATTCTTAAATGCAAAAGTCATATTTCATTAATCAGAGTCGGTTAGGAAAAGGTCATAGTTTCTCAACGACAGTTTGCAAAACGCCATGAGCGTGATATTTTTATAATTTCACTAACTGAAGTAAATTTGACATTTACATTTAGGGATATACAACTACGGCAACTGAAAAAATATTAATACCCCATTTCGTGTTTCCAAATCGACACTTAAGTAGTTTTAGCCTTTAGTTAAAAAACTGTGTTATTAAAGTAATAATAAATTGAATAATGCAGGTCGAGTTCAAAATTATTGCTATGTCTGTCACTCAATTTGGGTGTAAATTTTGCTGTCTTGTTGACACAGAAATTGTAATCATCTTGTTTAAAAAACGTCACATGTCAGTTTTTAATAAAATAAAAAAAGTACTTAACAACAACAGTATTGTTTCCTCTGATATTGTTAAGCATCATCGTATTGGTAAATTTTCGAATCAAAAAATACGTCCCATTCGTGTGGTTTTCTCATCGTCTAGTATTGCTCGTAATGTCATTGTTAAATATAGGACTTCTGATAAAATATTTATCAACAGAGATCTGACTCCGATGCAGCAAAAGAAGGCTTACAGCATTCGCAATGAATTCAAGAGAAGGATTGCAGCAGGAGAGAATGACATCACACTGAAATATCGCAACGGTATGCCTAATTTAAAAAAAACCAATAACATCCCAACGGATAATTATTGACCAAGTCACCTCAACTAATTTCAATATAATTTATCAAAATGTTCGAGGACTCAACTCAAAGGTAAATGAATTTTATATGAATATTTGTGCAGGTGATGCTGACATAGTTATGTTAAGTGAAACATGGTTGCATGAAGGAGTTGCTAATTCTGAGCTTTTTCCTATGGGATACAACGTATTTCGCTGCGATAGATTAACATCAAGAGGGGGAGGTGTCCTTTTAGCTATTAAGGATAAATATTCGGCATGCTGTGTTATTTCTAAATCACCTATTCCGGAAATAGAGTTAGTTGCTGTAAAAATATCTAGCGGTTTACAGAGCTTCGTAATTGCATCGCTATATATCCCACCAGGACTTGTACATAATATATATGATCGTCTGTTAGAATATTTGGAAGCAACTATTGCCTTTACGCACCCAGTACTTATAACAGGTGACTTTAATATCCCTGAATTTGTTGACTGTTTAAATGGTATGGGAATGTCGTATCTTTTCAATATTTTTAAACACTTTCTCAGCCTTAATGGCCTCACCCAGTGGAATACAATTCTGAATCACAATGCACGTTTACTTGATTTGGTTGTGTCAACCAAGGATGTTATCACTAACATTTCCAAAGAGGAGTTCCCATTAGTTCGTGAAGATTTACATCGTCCCTGCTTAAGTATAAATATTACAGTTAAACTAGTTGAAAGCTCATATTTTCGGAATAACCCAAATTCGTTCTATTTTAATTTTAAGAAAGCTGATTTAGTTGGCCTCTATTCATCAATATCGACGTTTGAGTGGTCTAAAATAGAAGAAATTAAACAAGTTGATACAGCTTGCAACTATTTTTATGATGTATTGTTTGATTTGTTCTCACAGTTTGTACCATTAAGTAGTGGCCATTCAAAACGACATAACTATCCTATATGGTTCACTAAATCTATAATCGATGCAATCAAACAAAGGCGATATCATTGGAATAAGTACAAGAAAACTGGTATAATTAATCACTTAGACAAACACAAAGAACTGAGGCGTAAAATTAAGTATGATATACATAATGCATATTCTTCGTTTTTAAAAAATGCTGAACATTCCATTAAAGATAATCCGAAAAATTTTTGGACGTTTGTTAATAATAAGAAAAATCAAAGTAGGATCCCTGGAAATATGATTTCTGATGGTAACACATTCACATCGTCGCAAGACATCGTTGACGCCTTTGGTCACCTATTTGCTGGGGTATTTAGTTCTAGTGATAATCATATATGTGGTCAGTATTGTGATAATATTCGTTGTGAATTCTGTGATAAAAAGTGCTGCCCATCTTTACAATTGAAATCTAGCTGTGAATCTTCTTCTGTTCTACATCCTTTTAAAATAAATGAGTCTGACGTTGTTAAGGCCGTTAAAAGAATTAAGTCTAATAACATTGCAGATCCTGACCGGGTTCCTGCATTTATTGTATCTGACTGTATTAGTTGTTTCGTAGTACCTCTTCTTCATATTTTTAATTTAATCATAAAAACATCTGTATATCCCAGTAGCTGGTTAATATCCAGAGTCTGTCCAGTTTTCAAAAATGGTGATAAGTTTGATATTAATAATTACAGACCTATAGCTATATTATCAAATTTTGCTAAATTGTTTGAAAGTATCTTGTCCAATGTCATATATGCACATGTAGTTAATTTTATTTCGAATGATCAACACGGCTTTATTAAGGGTAAATCAACATCAACTAATTTATTTGAATTTACTCAGTTGGTATCTCAAGCACTGGATAATAGGTTACAAGTTGATGTGATTTACACCGATTTAACTAAAGCTTTTGATAAAGTCCACCATTGTATTCTACTGACAATCCAACTCGAAAATTCTTAACCAATAAAATGGCAGAATTGTTTGAAATTTGTCCAATGGCATTCACCGAAAAATTTTTTCAGTGAAAAAACATTCTTCTGTCAGGCAACAACACTGTTTTTCAGCGAAAAAAAAAATGTCAAATTAATTTGTCAAACTTGTCAAATGAACTTTAATAAAAAAATGATAATGTAACATACAAATTACTTTTCTGTTGGCGTTAAAGTCATAATCTTCCAAAATACTGGCCACCTCGTTCATTTCGACTGCTTTATTCAGAGGAAACTTGTGTATTTCACAAAATTCTGTAAACTGCTTCCAAATTGAATCTTGCGTTCTTGCGGTCTTTCGGCACTGACTTTCTTTCACTGCATTTCGAATTTCATACACAGTCTTGTTACCAAATCTTGCTCCCAGAATTAAGAAAATCAACCAGCAGCACACACAAAATTTGATGTTTAGAAATTTATTTACGTTTTGCCTTGTTGTTTTGTTACTATTTAGACTAAGTAGGTATGGTTACTCAACGAATACGCTAACTATAAATTATGTGAATTATTGTCCGTAAAAAGTAAATAAAAATTTTCTCTTTGGATTGTCAAGCCGAATATAACTCGTGATCTGATTTTTTCTGCAAAATTTGTGTGAAAATTAACTCGTAGCTGTTGCTTTTGGAAAATCACACTTGTCTCCTTCGTCGACTCGTGTGATTTTCGTCGCAACAGCTACTTGTTAATTTGTGTCACAAATTTTGTCGGAAAAAATCAGACCACTTGTTATATTATATTTGAAAAAACTGCAGAGATTTGGTTTTTGTGCCAGCTTAGTTTCATTGTTAAAAGCCATGGTTATGAACAGATTCCAGTACGTGGAATATAATGGTTACAAATCGCGTGAATTTAGTTGTAATAGTGGAGTAGCGCAAGGGTCAAATCTAGGACCGCTTTTATTCATTATATTTTTTAACGACATTTCTGAATACATCAACTCCAAATTTTTTGTATACGCTGATGACTTGAAGCTCATTAAGTTTATAAACTCATCGTCTGACTGTTATGATTTGCAAGACAGCATTGACTCCTTTGTTAAATATTGCTCAATAAACTGTCTTGTCATTAATAAATCAAAATGTAAGATTATGTCGATAACCAGGAAAACAAACCTAATTAATTACAATTACAATATAAATGGTAATGTTTTGGAACGTTGTAATCAATTTAGGGATCTAGGTGTTATCATTGATACAAAATTATCATTTGTGCCGCACATTGAATATATTACAAATAGTGCTTTAAAATTGTTAGGTTTTATAATACGTAACAGTTCAGATTTTCGTAATATATTCTCCATAAGGTTATTGTTTAATAGCTTAGTTAGGACCAAAGTTGAATATTGCAGTAGTATATGGAGTCCTGCACAACAAATGTATGTTACACTACTTGAAAACGTCTTACGCAAATATTGCAAATTTTTATTTTTTAAAATGTTCGGACAATATCCAGTTCTACATTGTAATCAAAATGTGCTTCTTAATTTAGTTAATGAAAGGTCTTTGGTGAGTAGAAGAAATGTGGCTAGTTTAGCGTTCATTCAAAAAATAGTTAATGGATCAATTAGGAGTGAATATTTACTTAATCAAATAAAAATAGTTGTCCCTAGGGCTGTAAGCAGATCGCCAATTACCTTCTTCTATAACATCCCAAACACTTTTCACCATTACAACTCGCCAATGTTAAATTCTTTCAAATTATGGAATTGTATTCAAAATAAAATTGACATTTTTCATGATGATTTGAGCAAACGTAAGGTTAAGGATCAATTACTTGACTACTATATGCAATGTTAATAGTATATTTTGTTTAGTTGTTATGAGGTTGGAAATTATGTTTATATTGTTATTATTATTATTATTACTAGTTTTAATTATTTTTTCTATTCATTTTTTTTGCCATTAGTTATCAATGTATGATTCTATCTCTATATGGACCTTGTGTCTGTTGGGAAAATAAAACCTATTGTTATTATTATTATTATTATTATTATTATGATGGATAGT